GCTCTAAACTTTAAAAATATATGCTTAAAATATTATTTTTTTTGTTTTAATTAATACTTAACATACTTACCACAATTTTTGTTTGTTTTAATCAACAAAAACAACACAATTTTTTGCGCTCAACGAATAATCTGACAAAATGAAGAAGCCACGCTAAAAATGCTGTTATTTTACAAATAATAATTATATTTTTATATAATGATAGTAATAATCTGTAATAATTCTCACAACAAATTTAATAATTAAGTAATAATAAATAGTATTACAATAGCATCAAATGGAAAGCAATATACTATCGAAATTAGGCAATTAATAAATAAATTGAATTTTGAAGGTAAAATCGTTAGAGAAATTGCCAATTTAGTTGAAATAAGTCAATCGCGTATCGAAGACATTATCAAGAGGTCCCATGATGAGTTTAAGCTGACCAATAAGATCAGAGCAGCTCAAGGCGAAATATTAAATGATCGAGAAGAGCGTTCGATATTGAAAGAAATAAAGAAAAATCCTTTCAAAACCGCAAAAGACCTTAAATTTTCATTAAAATCCCGCTCTGAGAAAGATGTATGCTTAAATACTATTCACAATAGATTACATTAGTCCGATTATCGCGGAAGAATTACCATAAAGAAGCCGTTTATAAGTATTAAATATAAAAATAAAATAATAAACTACGCCAAGGAGTACTTACTAAAAACAGAAAGCTTTTGGAAGCAGGTAATTTGAAAGGAAATCATCTTAAATACATTTCCATTTATGATTTTAGTTTTTTCAAGCTTTTGTTCACTGACAAAAATTTCGCTTTGATCAGGACAACGATCATAAGCATACGTCAGGCATATTTAAACTTTGGTTCATCCAGAACTGCCCCAAACTCCCTAATTTGCAAAATAGTATGGACAACATAATTGGTTGGACAAGGAAATGGAACATCAACTTGAATAAAGAAAAATCAATACATGTAAATTTCACAAATCGAAACGTCAGTTTTACACCTGTCTACATCGATGAAGCACAAATCCCTCACGCGAATAATGCGAAATACTTGGGTATGACTTTGGAGGCTAAACTAAGATAGAGAGAGCACATAAAAAAGAAAATAACCGAATTAGATCTTAAATTCAAATCGTTGAAATAGTTAATCCGCAGAAAATCAAAACTATCACTTTTCAATAAACTTGTATTATACAAACAAATGCTGCAGCCAATCTGGACATATGGAATCCAGTTGTAGGGTTGCGTAAGCAGAACACAAATTTTCATCATTCAAAGATTTCAAAATTTTTTGCTACGGAGTGTAACAAACGCGCCGTGGTACGTTTGTACCACGACTTGCATCGTGACCTCGGAGTGTCAACAGTGCAGGAAGAAATTCATACCAAAGTCAAATTACACCAAGATAGACTTAGCTGCCACATAAATGCTGAGGCACATTTACTAGCAACCACTGAGCCTATACACCGTCTGTCTAAAGCGCCAAAAGCCTTCCGGTTTTTGAACTTAATTTATTTAAAAGTACTAGAGTTACCATATAAATATTAAGGCGCATGTAGTAGCGACAACTGAGTCAATACGCCGCCTAAAGCGCCAAAAGCCTTGCGATTTTTGGATCAAAAATAGTAAAAATCACACAAATAAATTACTCTCCCACCCTATCCCAGCAATGAGGCAGCTACCAAATGACGAAGCCACATATAATAGACGCTTGAAGCGCTTATTTCCACCAGAACTGTCAATTTAACAACCCATAAGTAGCTATTTAAAATACACATACATAAAACAATTTTAATCACTTATTTGTCTCATCTATTCCTATTTTATATTATTCAAATTAAATATGTTTTTATTATTTATTGTTAATATTCCATACACATGTTATTCTTAATATCGATTTAAATTATCGTAATTTCTACAACTGTAAACACGAACACTAGATGTCTAATCTTGGCAGTTATATATATAAAAAAAAAAGTTGTATTATTATCAGTAATTTTTTTATTGTTATTATTATGAATTTAACAAAAATTTAAATAATGGTTCCAATTTTTAATGACATTTAATGGAATCTCGGCTCTACTAGTAAATTTTGTAAACATGACCACAATCTGATAATGCTATTCCGGGGATACATATCCTTTTATCCGTAGTCATCAGAACATACCCTTGACATGGTAGAAGCTGCAATAAATTATTGGTGAGATGATTCACATTATCCACTTGTGTGGAGAGGTGAGCCAATTGGTCGGATGAGCTTGTCGGGCTTATGCGTCTTTATGGCACCGTATAAATACGGGTAATATGGAATGCTCCTATGCACGTCTCATGCGTTACCTGGAATAAACATAATAACGTGTGATGATATGATGTAGGATGTTGATGCTTGACTATTACTTCTAGAAACTTAAAGGAAAAAATTATAAATAATAATTATAAAATGAGGAAATTAAATACTATAAAATAAGTAACTATAATAATATATATAACTTACTATATACGTAAGGTATATATTCCTTTTCATAAATTATGGAAATTAATATTAATATAAATTTATTAAAAATAATAAAATACTACACAATATTTATAAATAAATAAATTAATGATAAGGATAAACAAATAATATGCAAAGAGAATAATAATGGAAATTAATAAATAATGATTGCATATAAAATAGTAGATAGTATTGAAAATAAAAATAAAAATGCAGGTTAATAGACAGGCAAAAATAACAACAAACAATAATTGATATATAAGAACAATTAAATAAGTAGACAGTAACCAAACATAACATAATATTTAAACAATAATAAATAACTAATTAAGTTAATAAATAAGTTAGTAATAAAGGATAAATAAAATAGTAACGGTAATAAAAAACAGCATAAGATACCAATAAGAAATAATAATAATTTAAAAATAATAAACAAATAAATCATTTAAAATAATAAATATTATAGATTATAAAATAAATATATTAAATAACAAACAAATATATAGCAAAAAATTGAAATGAATATCATTATAAATAAACTAAGAATAGGTGAAGTGAAAATATTTCAATAACTCAAGCCAAAAATAAACTATATAAAATATAAACAATAATTTATAATAAATAACAATAATAGGTATTGATATTGAGTAACTTCAATAATAAAAAGTGAATATATAAAATAAAAATTTAAAATAGATTATGGGTGATAATGTAATATATACAATATTAAAGAAAATGGAATAAACATTAACAAATGTATATAACACATAAAAATATGACGTTTATTATAAATAAAATAGAATACTTATTTTTTATTAAAAATACAAAAATAAATAAAAATAATTTACAAATAAGAAATAAATAAACAAACGTATAGTGAATAATTTAGCAATAATTAAGCTATACGAAATAATAAATTATATTTACTTAAAATCACCAAAAGTAAATAATACACAACGAATAAAAGTATAGTAATAGATTAATATATATTAATGTGTGGACAAACATATATAGAAACAATCAGTATAAATGATAACAAGAAGATAAATGGTAAATAAATAAATAATAAAATATGCAATAATAAAGAAACATACTAATAAATAAATAATAAAACATATAATAATAGGGAGACATATATGTTTTTTGAGCCTTGGCAACACTGCTTGAAAAACAGTTCCAGTGCCAGAATACATAAATGTTGTGCAGAAACTGATAATGCAAGATCGTCATGTGACAGACAAACTGTGAAATCGAGGGAATACAAGAGATTCGTTCTACCAACATATATAAAATATTGCATGATCATGACATAAGTTTGTTAGTTTGTGTTGGATCCCTTATCCTTTGATAAAATCTCATAAGATGGTCGCGTCGATTGGTGCACATAAATGATCAAGAAGTACAATGGCAGTGCTACGATATACGTATATAAAGTTGTAACAGGTGACTAATAATGGATATATGCGTATGATCCGGAACGTCGACCATACAGGAGAGTGTACTGTATTGTTTGCTTTTTTTTTCGGGTAAAATTTAAAAAGATTCTAATAGCAAAGAAAAAACAAGCACAAAAATTTAGTTAATTTATTGAAATCAGGCTGAGCATATAACGCTGAATCGAGTTTTTACAAAATACTTATCATCAGTGGTCTTAGAAAATATTATAATTTCTTTTTAATTCGCTAATAGTCCATATATAATTGTTTGAACTGCAAGTGCCAGGATTACAACTCGTGCCACAAGTAGTCAAAGCTGTACTAACTTTCAGAGCACAAGTCTCAGGTTTTTTGTCATTTTTTAATTTACGAGCTTATAAACCACAGCTTTAGTTGGAAACATAAGTTCAACGAATTGAAAGTTAACTTTTGAGATTACCTAATTTTTATCAAAGCTATTCTTTTTGCAGACATTTGTTAAGCATAATTTTGCTTATGTATAAAGAGCCTTTTTGGTGCCATTTTCAAAAAAAGAAAATCGAATATTTTCTAAGCACTTGGCGATACATGAAACAACGTTGTATGATCAGTCAAATCTCAATAAATTAACTAAATTTTTGTGCTTGTCTTTTGTTTGCTATTCGAATCCTTTTAAAAGATGCAATCTAATAATATATTACAATAAAGCAGAATATTGCAAGAATAATGTGATATAATAGAATCCACAATTGTGTAAATTAATAAAAATGAGAAATAATAAGGAAACGGATAAAGTATTGTAATGATCAATTTTTTAGTCGATATAAAATTTATCTTACAGCTATAAGTACCTAGAATAGGCAAGATATTAAAATTATCGAATTGTAAATATTTCACTGATATTACCTCGACTCATCACGCATATAATTTTCTGCATAAAATACCAAAGTGTGCTCTTACTTTACGAAGTCTTCGAATAATTTCACTGCAAATAAAAACCGCAAATCCGGATATTCGAAGACTTCAGATTTACAAAAAATCCGATTTTATTTTCAACTTCAAAGACTTCGTTGAAATCCGATTATTCGAATAATCGGAGAACTTCGTTTTTTAAAAAATTTGAATATGAACAGCACTACTCATCACTGCTGGCCCACAAGATTGATTCCAACGGAGCTCTGTTATTGTAAAAAAGGGAAAATAATGTTAGTGGAACATAAAAAAAATAATGAAATGAAATGAAATATTTATTAATATTTAATACATACCATTATAAGCCTACTTACCAAAACCCATTCCGCTTGCACGCTACTGTAATACCTCGATGTGATCTGAAATTGAATTTACATACCTCAATAACTCACTTATTAAATATTTATGGTAAATATATATTTTATTATATTATAATAAATGAATAGATATTTATTAAAAAACCTATCATTCATGGCGTCAAAATATAATTCTCCACAAACAGATGCACAAGAAAGCTGAGAGTGCAGCTTAAGCATCGCACGTAAGTTGAAAGGAAGAATAGAAACCAACGGTGAAGTCAACAAAAACTCCCACAAATCTGAAAATGAAATATTCTAATAACGATGAAGTGAAAGTTTGCTAACAGACCGCGAAATAAGGTAATAGGAAAAACTAAGGATTTACCAGTTATAAGAATGTGATATAAAAAGCTAAAGTCCGTTGGATAGAACGGAGTGCTGTTTTGAACTACACTTAACCGAATCTAGCAGTAACTAAACAGTTTGCTCGTGTTCCAATTGTTAAGACATAAATTGAGGACATAACGCTGAACTACAAATATCAAATTTACTGCTAAAACAACGGACCGTTAAATAACAGCTATATTGAAGAAGTCCCGCTACAAATCCTAAAACAGCTAAACCAGATCGACAGATAATCATCGAACGTTAAATTCTAAAATTTATTTTAATTTTAATTAGATTGATCAAATATAAACAAGAAAAAAAAATTTAACCTTTATTTATTGTTTTTATTATGAAATTCAGATCGTATAAATACGATTGAGTTCAATTCTTTTATTTGATTTAATAAGTTAGATATAATTTTTATTCTAATTTGTTTAAAAAATATGTAAAAAAGTTAATCAGAAATATGTATACATATACATATAAGACGTATTAGTTTGAAACTCAAATCGTAGAAATTTTGCATTATATTTAATTAATTCAATTGAGTTCAATTCTTTTATTTCTTGTCTTAATAAGTTAGATATATATTTATTTGCTCTTAATTTGTTTAAAAAAACCTAAAACTCGGTTTCATAAATATATATATAAAAGATATTAGTTGTAAATGCACATCAATTGTCCAGAAGTTCTTTTTTTGTATATCGCTATCGATTCTAACAAAAATAATTAATTTGTTTGTTTGTGTCTAATATCATAATTAATAATATTATATAATATAATACTTGGTATATGTTATAGTTTTTTTTTTATTATTTATTACACCTAATAAACATTGGTATTAATAATTTATTGGTAAATAAATGTATATTGGAATATAACTAGTTGAAATTCTTTGTTTCTTGCTTCTAATTTTCTAGTCAATTTTTTTTTCTTCTTTTGTAAATCTTGTATTGAACCCTAGTATACTCTGAGGTTTTTACATTATGTCAGGAAAATAATAAAAATTAAATAAATAATTATGTTCATTATGTTAATTGTGCAAATCCTTGTTATGAGATGCGCATACAGCTTCAATGAAGTGCAAATTGTCACCAAATAAAGAAAGTGATGCGATATAGCAATACAGCAACCAGTTTACGATACGACGGAATAAATAACAGGATAGCATGTTTTAATGAATGTCAAAGTGTTTCAAAATAAACGATACAAATACCAAATATAACAGAATAATAGTGTACAATAGACTACACGACACGCTGTAAAATGTGGAATAGTACGAAATAATATTGGCCGACTATGCAGATGGTGGTTAGCACGGACACAAATACAAAAAAAAAACAAGACGAAAATTCCACAGAATAGAAGTAGGAATGCATAAAATATTCAAATATGGTATGGTACACAACTAAAAACGGTACAGTACAAAACATAAATATCAAGGGAGTATCCATGATAAGAACCATTAAAGCAGTATAGCAGAATATCAATAGTAAATTGAAGACAGAGACTTAAGTGGCCATTAGACATTAAAGTGCTGCATCAAAACTAGAGTACTGCACGCGCGCATTTGATTTCAGTTTCAAAGCATTCTATTGTGTTTAGAATGGTAGCATACTCTCACTCTCAACGAACAAATACAAATGTATAGGCATAAAAACAAAATGGAATGGAATAAATATTTGTTTCGTTTGTTTAGAGTACTCTAATTCTAAACATTCTAAAAGTAGTTGAAGTAGTTGGGAGTACTCTAAGCATTTGATTTTCAGTTCATACAAAAATTATGTGTTTTTAAATAGTAAGACACAAATTTATTTATTTAAGTTTTTTTATTAATTAAATATTATTTAATATGTTGATAATAGTAATTTGTTGATTACATATATAATATGACTTAATATATTAATTAAATATAAAAAAAATTTTGAACAAAAATTTATTTAAAAAAATTATAATAAGTTTTTTTACAGTTTTTACAGTTCACAAATTTAATTGAATATGCAAATTAAATGTTGAGCATCGTCTGACTTAATTCCTCTTTTTCAAGATTGTTGTGTAAAACATGATTTGATTGATAGATCTTTGATTAGATGAAATCAATGTTCTTTTTTCTGTTATTAAGTTCCGAGCAACTGAAAAAACCCTTTCCGAAGATGCACTACTTGCTGGTGTTGCAAATAATTTACAAGAAACTTTGTAAAGTAGGAATTCTGAAGGAATTCTTAAGAAATTTCTAAAAATCTCTCTTGTCAGAAATAGATATTTTTACCATATCATGTATATAATTATTTTCCAGGAAAAGGTAAATATGTGAAGCAATTTATTTTGTTACATCATAAAAAACTATCGACAAAGAAGGAAATTCTGCGCAAACCGTTTTTTTAAGTTAACCTTTTGCATTAGATCTACCTGTTTAAACAACTTTTGCATTGAAAATAATAGAAAATTAAACCTAATTTACGTACTTTGTTGTTGCAATTATTGCAAATCTCTACGCACATCCAACTTTCTTTACTTTTGCGCAGGCAACCAAACGCAACCAAACGCACACAAAATATATAAAATATTTCTTTGCAAAAATAGAATTATTTGAAATACTCTAAAAGTGATTGAAATACTCTAAAAGTGATTGAAATACTCTAAAATATTTGTTTATTTGATTTTAAAATTCAAAACAAACGATTATAGAGAACAAATCAACACCCATTCCATTGAAACGAATGCGGCGGAAACGAATTCTATCGGACCGTTTCTGTTATTCGTTCGTATTCGCTTTAGAAATAATTTGTAAATATGGTACACATTAAAGTGCTGCATCAAAACATTCGTTTTTGCGGTCATTCGTTTTATTTTCAAATGTGTACCATATTTACAAATTATTTCTAAAGCGAATACGAACGAATAACAGAAACGGTCCGATAGAATTCGTTTCCGCCGCATTCGTTTCAATGGAATGGGGGTTGATTTGTTCTCTATAATCGTTTGTTTTGAATTTTAAAATCAAATAAACAAATATTTTAGAGTATTTCAATCACTTTTAGAGTATTTCAAATAATTCTATTTTTGCAAAGAAATATTTTATATATTTTGTGTGCGTTTGGTTGCCTGCGCAAAAGTAAAGAAAGTTGGATGTGCTTAGAGATTTGCAATAATTGCAACAACAAAGTACGTAAATTAGGTTTAATTTTCTATTATTTTCAATGCAAAAGTTGTTTAAACAGGTAGATCTAATGCAAAAGGTTAACTTAAAAAAACGGTTTGCGCAGAATTTCCTTCTTTGTCGATAGTTTTTTATGATGTAACAAAATAAATTGCTTCACATATTTACCTTTTCCTGGGAAATAATTTTATGCATGATATGGTAAAATAATATTATTTATGACAAGAGAGATTTTTAGAAATTTCTTAAGAATTCCTTCAGAATTCCTAACTTTACAAAGTTTCTTGTAAGTTATTTGCAACACCAGCAAGTAGTGCATCTTCGGAAAGGGTTTTTTCAGTTGCTCGGAACTTAATATCAGAAAAAAGAACATTGATTTCATCTAATCAAAGATCTATCAATCAAATCATGTTTTACACAACAATCTTGAAAAAGAGGAATTAAGTCAGACGATGCTCAACATTTAATTTGAATATTAAATTAAATTTGTGAACTGTAAAAACTGTAAAAAAACTTATTATAATTTTTTTAAATAAATTTTTGTTCAAAATTTTTTTTATATTTAATTAATATATTAAGTCATATTATATATGTAATCAACAAATTACTATTATCAACATTTTAAATAATATTTAATTAATAAAAAAACTTAAATAAATAAATTTGTGTCTTACTATTTAAAAACACATAATTTTTGTATGAACTGAAAATCAAATGCTTAGAGTACTCCCAACTACTTCAACCACTTTTAGAATGTTTAGAGTTAGAGTACTCTAAACAAACGAAACAAATATTTATTTCATTCCATTTTGTTTTGCCTATACATTCGTATTTGTTCGTTGAGAGTGAGAGTATGCTACCATTCTAAACACAATAGAATGCTTTGAAACTGAAATCAAATGCGCGCGTGCAGTACTCTAATGCTAACCACAAATCATGCGTGCATTTAAACGATGTTTACGTTTCTACTTCTCAAAATAAATTAAATTTTGCATGCCGACCAAATCCGACTGTATATGGGTCATTATTTTACAAACCGGACGGATTTTGGTAAAAAATGACCTCATGATCTCCGATTTGGCTGAAATTTTTTTTATGAGTTCCTTTCATAAAATAAGAAGACCCGTATCTCGGGAAAAAATTTTGTGATTTTTTTCCTTGGAGATATTGACCCATGGGGTTTTGAGAATTGGCATAGTAGACACATTTTCAAATGGCTATATCTCAAGTTCTATAAAAGGTAGAAACTTGAAATTTACAGCGTTTTAAAGATAATTAATTGAATTAATTGAAATTGTTTGAACAATTAAAATTGTTAATACTTAAGTACTAATATTAACCGTTAAATTTAAAAAAAAATTTTTCTCAAAAGTAGTTTTCAAATTTTCGTTTTTTATATTTTATCTAGATTTAGTTTTAAATTTTACTACGAAATAAAAAGTTTTGATACCATCTTTTTTTGAAATATTTTAATATTTTTTTTTCTCCCGCAAAACACATCAAGCGCATGCGTACTACATTTT